GTACATTAAAATACAAAAATATTAAAATTCTATAAAACAGTATTTAAATTATAAGGACAGTTTACAGATAGCTGTAAGACTTTGAATTAAGTAAAGGAAATTAAAATTTATTGAAATATTGCTTACAGGACTCAAGTTGATTTCATCATCCTCATCATCGCTGGTCAGTCGCTTATACGCAGAGGACACTTCCTGGAATTTCTGAAGATGAAAAAAGCTTATTGAGCATACAGTACCTCCCCTTGTGTTGTAAACTACACATACACACCTCTCAAAGCCTGGCCAAAATTCATTTCATTTTTTGCATCTTATGAAATGAACTCCTTGGTAAGGAAACTACAAGTGTATCACAATTAGCTGGATCATTTTTAATCACATGACACAACATCCCTGGTAAAATGTAAGGGAAAACACAAAATATTGCTTTGGTAAGAAGTCAGACACACAAGAAGGGTAGAAAATGACGAATGACAAAATAGACAATAATGGTCAAGGATAGAATAAACACACACGGGAAGAAAGTGACGGATGACAAAATAAAAACTGGTCAAGGATAAAATAAATAAATAAAGGCTGATAGTTTCGAAAGAAACTGTTCGGGGCTGCATCGGCGGGAGTAACGAAATAATTTGGATATATTGACAAAGTTGAAGTGGTAAATTGGCCACCGAAACGATTACAAAAGCTGACGTTTCGAGCGTTAGCCCTTCATCGGAGCGAATAAATAGCCTGGCTAAATTGCTCAAGATCAACAAATGTTGACAACCTCCTTCCAGAATTATGATACTGTATGACACCAAAGTTAACAAGATTATCAGAAATAAAGTTTTTCATGATTACAATTTGCTGACATGCACCCACTCCACATGATCTCATTATTTTCAATTTTCATCAGAAGGATCATGATATGACATGTATTTGAAAGACTGTTTGGTTTTAACAACAGAGTTGATATTGGAAATTGGCCAACTTAAAGAGTTTCGAAAGCTGACATTTAAGTGTCAGCTCTTTGTCAGAGTGAATAGGGCAGTCAAGGGTAATGTGTGGTATGTCAAAGACATTATTTACAAGTCTGACTTGACAAAGAAGTTTCCCTGCCATCAGTGATGTATGCAAACTACGCACTACTTAAGAGTGCAAAATACTTATCATCAACACACCTAACAATAATTCATCCATCCTAGGAACAGTGTCCTCCTTTTCAAAAAGTAACTGGTAAAATCAAATTGGTTTGAAAATTTCTTTTGCCTGCCAAGCTTAAAATAAGGGAGAGCACTGCCAAGGAATACTCAAGATCTAAATGGAGCATCAAGTCACTTACAGCACTAGTTACCATATTATCGGTGTATAATATGCACTTTTTTCTACAAAAGTAACCATCAAAATCGCGGTGTTTATTATACACAGATTCCACTGTTTGTCATGCACGTCCTAGTTTGCACACCTTAAAAACGCAACAAAAAAAGTGACACTTAAAGCTTTGATTAAATAACTTATTTTCAATGAAAAATTATAGGTGCATATTAAGTTTTTACTCTAAAATCAAGAGGAAATCGCTAAATATTTTCGCAAGTGTGCAAACAGGCACGTGGATCAGATTTCAAAGTGAATATGCAAATTTGGGCGCGTGTGAAGAGATCTCATGTTACATGGAATTTTTCAATGAGAAGCAAGAGGAAAGTGAGCAAGAAATATTTCAGGACAAAAGCTTTATTTAAATCAGTTCTTGATTTGCTGTTATAAGCAAAAAACATGCAAATTTCTTACATGTACAAAGCGCACGCAGTGGAATTCATCGTGGTTATATTGTTGTTTACTTGACTTTACGGCCAGAAAATTGCATAGTGTTAGTTTGAAAATTCTAAAAATACGACAATATGACACTTTTTTGCTGTGGAAAAACTTTTTTTCTGATAAATTAGGTTTAAATGCAGTACTGTAAAGAATAACCTTTACATTGCTGTTTACCTTTGTTGCCTCCTGACTGTTGTTGTGTTTATCAGGATGCCACTTTAAAGCTAGACGTTTGTAACTGGATCTTATATCTTCATAACTTGCCCCTTGAAAAAGAAAACAGATCAAATGTTATTTAAAGAACTGCTGCAATGAATAGGTGAATAAACCCACATGGATTTTCTCTGGTGACATCATTGATAAGAGGGAGCTAGGGAGTAAATTCACTTCATACAACCCCACAAAATTCACCTAAAACTATTTGTTCCTCTTTCTCCAGAAAGTTTTTCCTTAATCAAAAAATTGAGTTAAAGTCAGCTCATTCATAGGAAAAGAAAAAAAAATCCATCTCATCTACAGAAACCAACTGAAACATACTAACAATAATTATAGGCTCCCACCCTACTTTAAAGATTTTGACCTCATTTTATTTTTTTTTTAAACAAGATGAGCAAAAAAAATGTTACATCTATTTTGAAAGAAAGTCAGCTTACTGATTCAAACATTTATCCACTCTAAAATGTCAACAAATAGGTCTACTATTGATGGTTTCCTTTTGCATTTACTATGTCCCTAACAGTAATGCCTAATTTGTGATGTTTCATTACAGTCCTTCCATACTATCAAGCAAAACAGGTTAGGGAAACAGAGAAAACACTGTTAACAGACGTTAAGAACGATAGAAATTAACATTGTTAAGAACGATAGAAACTCTAAATTCGTTCAAGAAGAACATAAGAAAAGTCGACCTTTCCACTCTCGTTGAAATTTAAAACTTAACTAAATAACTTTATAATCTTTTTAATTATCTACTGTAAATAACTATCATCTACATATGTAAATGTATTTGACTTTTAAATTTTTTTTAGTGTCCCCCATTAGCTTATAGCTAAAAACATAGACACTTGAATAAAGTTTTTCATTCATTCATTCATTCAGACCACGATATGAAATAACATCGAGACTTAGAAGTCATATTGTTAGGGCCCTACATTGAAATTGTGGAATACTATATCAAACAAGTCTTGGAAGATTCAAACATACACTACTTTTAAAAACAACTTTAAAACATTAAATATCATGGGACTCTGAGTGCCACATGGGTCTACTCTTAATCAATTTTTACTGTTGTAATAATTTTCATAATTTTCAGACATTGAACTTTTGTATTGTAATATTAGTTTATAACGTTATGTAAAATTTACACACCTTAAAAAGGCTTTTATTTTTTTCTATTTCTTTTTTTTTGTTTGTTTTCACAGCATACATGACTTGCAAACTAGCTTTTTGGCATATTAGCACACTGACCACACTAAATACATGTACATTGATTGATTACTACAAAAGAGAAGTGTGTAATAAATTAAGTACATGCTTTTTATTCTTGTAAATAGTATTGGAGGTACCACAAGGTAATTTTCTAAAAGTCAACATAGCATTGTTCAACAGTGAAATTCTAGTTCAGACAAAAAATAAATTACAATTAAAAATAATACTTAGCGATTGTTTCACCAGTTATTATAACTTAGGCAGCTTTATACTGGGCTTCAAGAAAGTGGTTTTAACCTGACAGATAAGATTGACTGGCATCTAACTCCTCTTTACCATATCACCCCTGAATTACAAAGGTCACAAGAATAAAGCACAGGCAAATCTCACTTCACCAGCTTTACACTGGGCTTCAAGAAAGTGGCTTACAATCTGACCCCCAAGAGTGATTAGCATCTAAATCCACCTTACAACATCACCCCTAATTATGAGTTCAATCACAATACTAAAGGTGAAGATCATCAAACTAAGGAAGTTCAAACAAATTCTCCTCGTCAGCACCTTAGGAAATGTACAGGAAACAGTATGGAGAATATGCATACTGATGTTAGGGTGTAACTGGTTAATAATAAAGTTGTCATGTTCTACAATGGTTCAGGTTTCTGTTCAGGAAGCTTAAACGGCAAGAGTACCATATAACCCCATACATTAATTATGCATTCTGACTAGTAGACTTTGTTTTTAAAGTTTGGTCGTGAAAGACAAAGGAGTGGAATGCATAATTAATGTATGGGGTTATATGGTACTCTTTCCGCTTAAACAACTAGAAAGACAAGAACTGTACCCTCTGTCAGCAAGTCCAGGGTGCAAGGTGCAAAGCTTAAGTGTAATGTACTTTGACAACTCTTTTGTGGTTTTATCTTTTGTTTTCTTGAATCTGGGATTGCTGTCTTGGTATTGTTGCGGTTAAAGTTCAAACAAACAATTCAAGGCAAGACTTTGTCCTTCATATTATATTGAGAGCATTCTTGAACTTCCTGATATAAAAATAACTATTTTGTTTTCATTGCTATCATATCTAAACACGGAAAGTAATAATACTACGTCTCTTAATGAACGTTCAATTCCTCTTCACTATAAAGCAGCTCTTTACATGTGATTAATAAGGGGAAATAATACGATGCGAGCACAATAACCAATATATAAAGCGGAATATATATAGCGGAAAATAGTGCATATTCCGTCACGCAATTTCAGCAGTTCGAACGCTGCTCGAAATAGTGTATCTATATTTAGCTTTCAGCAAGAACTTCCCCATCTAACACCTCGACAAGAAACAAAAAAATATAATATAAATCTTCAATACAAAAACTAGTTTTGATGTTCCTTTTCTTGCAAATAATTTACGAGATGTTTTTCGCTAGACAGCCACGTACTTGACCTATTTTCCAATTTAGATGATACGTTCTTCCCTTGAACCGAATTTGGAGACTTCGAAAGGACGATTCAAAGAAGAGGGTACAAACCTAGAGGGAGTTCCAAGACTGAGTACGCCTCGCTCTTCGAAAGGCCCATGTTTGACGTCTTAAAGCACAACTTTGTTTAAAGTTTTGCTGCAAGTATATCCGCCATATTTCATACTTTCACGTGTAATTTTTTTGGCGCGAATGGAGAATTCTGGGAAATTTAAAGTCTCGTGACTTGGGATCACGTGTTTTTTGCACCAGCGGTTAACTTCAGTAGTGCCAGAGCATCTCGAAAAAAGTAGTCACAAAACCCTTTACGGTGTTTTTTTATCATAATTAACATCAGGACCAATTCAAGCAAAAGTTACGTAGACTTTAATTGCTTGTTATGCATTTCCACTTTGTGTTAAAATCATTTTCATGTAATTGAAATTCGAAGTTATGTCATCGTGAGAAAATTGGAGCTATTATGATTTAAAAAAAAAGACTTTAGTGATCAGATTTTCTTTGAGCTTAAAAATTGTTTCGTGGCTAACTTTCACCGAATGCAATGGTTAATGCCATGGCTGAAGCAAAATCAGATCCCTTGTCGCCCAAGAAGCCAGTGAAAGAAAAAATTGTGGGAATCTACGATGACTTTTTTAAGGTACGCGACTTTTTAATTCATGTATATTTTTACCAGATGAAAATAAATGAGTACATAGGTAGGTTGATATTTTTTTGGTTGTAATAACTACATCATTATTGTAAAACATTACAAATAACACTTGTTGCCATTTTTAACATTTTCTCTCATGTAGATAAATTACTCAATCATCAATTGTTACAATTTTCTTTCATGTGGGAGATTATTTTCTAGAGTACAATTTACAAGATGTCAATGTGGTAATTTTAAATCATGATTTCATTTCTCAGTTATGATAACTGTGACTAGACTACAAGCAGTCCCTCCTCGAATGGAAAAACCATTACTTATGTACTGTTATATGAGTATTGTTATTATAATTGTAAATAGAACAGAATAAAAGTAATGAAGATAAGGATGTATTTTGATCATAACCTTTTTCTTAGGGAGGTGAGCCATCTCGTGATAATCCAAATTTCTGGCATGAATTTTTTCTTTTGAGGGTAAGTTGTGATTGTTGAATGTACCTTTGAGGCAGGGGGGATACAGCAGGAGAACAGGGGGGATCCAGCAGGAGAACAGGGGGGGAGGGACGGTTGAGGATCTTTTGCTTCCCTTACCCTTATAACCAGTTACCTGCCCACATTGTTGACTTCTCCCCTGCTCCCTGACCCTGAATAGTTTGTGCTTTGCACCCCCCTGTCACCTATCTCGTATACCCCTTCCACCTTTCAGTCACTCTTATAGCCATCCAGACTCCAACAAGCTGACTCTGCTTTCTAGAAGATCATAGCAGGGCTCCCACATGCACTTTGCACGTGTGGGACAGAGCCCCATACGCATGGAATATGGTCAACCTCTTTTCATTTGGTTGTCACGTGACTGACTGAGCATATGTATGTACGTACGTGCCTTCAGATTGCACGGGTAGGGTAGGAGAGACTATGAAAACGAAGGGAGGGGTGTCTCGGGCGAGTCTTGGCAAATGCACATCTTTTATGTTATCATTAATAATTACGAACTTGGGAGCTCCGCTTTTAGGCTTGGCTAAATCTATATATTAACAATTAACAAGGTGGCTTGCAAAAATGTAAATAAGTCATTTTGTCACCAAATTTGTAACTGGTATGAATGATTACCTTTTTGGCTTTTCTTGTAGAATGCAGACCTACAGACCCTGTAATTATTAAGTCCTTCACCTCAGGATGATAATTAAATTAAAAAGTCTTGATCAGTGTTTTTCCTTGTAGGTTAATGCTATTTACCTGGAGCAGTGCATTGACAAGCTAAGTGAAGAAGAACTTATGGATATCAAGGTACGTTGTGTACTATGACAGGTATTACAGACGTGCAAGATTATTGTTTTCAATTCTGGTTTCCATCCATACCAGTGCCTCGTGGCATGAGGTAGGGATTATTTTGAGTATGGGTTAATTTTCTATAAAAATTTTATTCAGGAGAACATCAACCTTCTGTTTGCCCAGTGCTGTATTGCTTTACGCGGAGATCACCAGATAAAACTAGTCAATGCTCTACAGGTTTGTACTATACTATAGAATACCTTATATTTTCTCCCATGTATAATGTTGCTTGAAGATAATATAGCGTTATGGTAACCAAAATAACAACATCACTTTTCTAATTGCAGACATTGTGTGCACTTGTGCGAGCAGTTTACAGAAAGAGATTAGGGGACCATGGCTTTGACATAATAAACATCTTGATTGGATTTGACGCTGCTGAAGCTCAGATGCAGGTTTGTTCATCTACTTGTCATTGTTTGAGTGATAAGGCAGTCTCCTTGAAAAGTAAAGATCAGACTGAGGTTCCTGTTGTTCAAAGAGTGGATAGGGCTGTCCACTGGATACAGTCATCTCTTTTATTCACAGTTGTTTCATCACTTCATGGGTTTATTACTAACCAAGAAAATGACCAGCTCCCAGTTGACTTGTGTAGCTTAGATGGTAGAGCACTGCACTGGTATCTCAGAGGTCATGGGTTCAGCTTCTTTACAGGCCTGAATTTCTTTTTTAGGCCTTAGTTTTACTACTGCTTAAGTAGTGTTCCTGGGTGGATCCAGGGGTGGTTCAGTCAAACCCCCTAAATTTTCCCTCAAAACGCTGGAAATCATGTTTCCAAAGACCTAATTTTCAAAATCTTGGACCCCTCATGAGGGGGACAATTCTCCGCACCCTCCTTGACTAAATCCTGGATCCGCCCCAGTGTTCATTACATTAACTGCAAAGATTGCTCTCATGACACTTATTAATCTGCAGCTCACATAATTATTTTCCTATATTTACATTCATGAATACATCTCTATTCCTTAGATTACATAATAGATTTTTTATTAAATTGTTTTCCTGCTAAATAGCAATTTATCCTTTGGATAGCAATGTATCTATTGAATAGTAATTTATTCACTACCCTTTAAAAAACTGGGCCGAGGTGAATTTGACGTAAAGTTGTTAAATTGCCTTTTATCCAATGTCTAGGAGAAAGCCATAGGTAATTCTCAAATCTTAGTTCTAAGAGTTGTTACTATCAGGTAAATCTTTATTCAATTTTAATTGAATTAGCAATTATATTTCACTGTTATGCATTATCATGATAATTCTTTTCTTTGTTTTAGGGACTGATGGAAAGTTTGCATACCTTTCTGGTTGGAGATTATCCTGGTAATGATTAAATAATTTTGACAAAGTCTTACTAGTAATTTGCCTTGATCTTTTTATGGGAACTTACATAACATAACTAGTAGCTCCTTGATATTGTAGGTCGACAGCAAAGCATACAAGCATTATGTGCAATGTCAGCACATAAATTCCAAGGGCCAAAATTTTATGTAGCAAACAAGATCCTTGTAATACAAAGAACTGTCAAATGTTCAAGTTAAAGCTCCTACTAAACTGTAGCTGTTGTAGTCTTTCATTTATACATCAACAACCTCATGTACTGGAAGATAACATCATCCAATTATTAATGTTCCATTTGGAAAGGCAGAATTTTTTTTCCTTCAATCTGATTATAGCCCCCTTTTTCTTTTTCTTCTAGTGAGCTTAAAGAACCTGTCTCTTAAATTAGCTCTTATCCTTGTCACAGTAAGTACAGTCATGTCCAAAGTTAGTTTAAAGCTCTCTGGAATAATCTTAGTCCTCTTTAAGTACATACATATTTTTCAAGCTTATTGTGTACTCCTCTGGTTTGCAAGCTCACAAATGTTTTCCTGCTAAATCTTATCCAGCATGTGCAAACTTAGTTCATGGTAATTAGGGTTCCCATCTGAGCTAAAGAGTTTTCATCTTGTTGTTTCAGGCAACAGATAATGTCAGTCAGAACACAATTGTGGAGTATATTATGATCAACAGCATCTTTGAAGCTATCATTCAGGTAATATATAGAGTATTTCACAGTCAGGAATAAATTCTGGAACATGTTACCAGTAATCGGTATTAATAGTTATTTTCAATTATTCTGACTTACAAAGAATGAGGTTGAAAAATTTTGTCTTGATGATGGGTCAAAGAAAAACAAATCTCATTCTCTGGGATGATTTGAACCTCAAACCCTCTGAGTTTGTGGTAGGATGCTTTGCTAGCAGAGTTATAAAAAACTCTCTGGTGAACAAAGCCATTGATTTGTTCATTTGAGACAATAATTCTGCAAGGATAGCATTGTAAAAGTATTATTTCTAGAAGTCAAGTTAGGAAGATGGTCATGTTTTGTGGGATGAAGAAAGTTGTCAAATTATGGGAACAGAGAAAAAAAAAAAGATTGATTTGTTATAATAGCTAATTCAAGCTCCAGACCATCCAAGGTCACTGTGAAATACTCCACTCTGACCAGTACTTTTTGTTTGTTAAAGGTTCTTGCTGATCCAGTGGCCAGACAGCAACATGGATATGAAGCAATGCTGCTGCTCACAATTCTTGTGAATTACAGGAAGTATGAGGTAAGTGATGGACGATTGTAAATTTGTTGGATTCTGTTGCTTCAAGTTTAATTTTAAGTGAAGATAAGATACTTTAATTAATGTGGGGTTTACACTTACCTAATCAGCTAGTTTACAGGTAATCTACAGCTCTAGTGTATTCTAGAAATATAAAACTTAAGAATGTACCATAATTGAACAAAACTGAACAAATCTGTAAAAGAGATGCTTATTAACAGTAATTGACTGAGTTGTATTACTACTGTGAGTAACAAATATGGAATAAATGTTATGCTGACGATAGTCCACATGATTTGAACCAATTTCCTTGGAAAATAACTTTAAAACTGAAATATTTTTCATGTAGGTGAATATAAATGCTAATTTTATGCTTTTATTCATACATGTTGGAAGAATGTTTTTTGTAAATTCTGTTGTTCAAACTGTTATGTATATTTTTTCTTCATTTTCATCAGGCCTCAAATCCATATATTGGGAAGTTGTCTATTTTGGATGATGAATTAGCTCTTAATGTAAGTGTAAAGAAAAAGATTTAAAAAAATCAGCTGCGTGTGTTTGTATTTGCAATATTTAGACAGGCTGGCCAAGTTCAGCTCAAAGCTGGTTTGAACTGGGGCCTGTATAAACAATAACAACATTGTGAGCAACATTCCCTACTCTTTGCAAAAGTAGGTAATAATCAGTTTAATTTTTTTTAATTACTCTTTTTGTAGCTTACAGCTAAATTAGAGTGGTCGGGATACAAATCATGTCATTCTATACAATAACATGAAACATTTTACTAAGAATATCTATATGTAATAAATTTGTGGAGATGGTTAGTAAAAGCCATAGCAGGATCATCTCTAAGAGAGCCTAAGAGAGGTGGGTTCTTTAACATCCCCTGATAACAGGGGGGACTCCGATTAAGGAGACAGGGCCTACAGTTTGTTTGTCCTTATTAGAGAAGAGTAGAATGTCTAATCATAATGTGGCTGTGAAGGCAAAGACAGTCATTTTAAAGCATTATTATGAAATTAAAGAGAGATCTTTTATTTTCTGGAGTATAAACATTGTGATATTCGCTGAATGTATATCTGGTATTTCTTTTCCCTTGAAGGGTTTTGGATGTGTTATATCTGCAGCACTTACTGATTACAACAGGTACATTTTTGAAGATTAGTGAGACTGCAGTATTTCCTCAAATTCCTGAAATAAATAGCCTCACTCTTTCAAGTGCCAGACCAAATAAGCAGCCACACCCATGGCCTATAGGGCAAATCAGTTACACCCACTTTTTGTGTTACTGGCAGGCTTATTTACAATTTCAAGTTGACTCTGTTTGGGTTTGTTGTTTCCTAAATGTTTTGTAGAATTCAACTATTTCTTCAGTTGGATCTCCATGATTACTTGTGAGGTAAAACTTTGGCACTTAATGTGGTTCATTTTATATTCATTAATACACTCATAGCTCAAGATTTGTTTTCTCTTTTCCAGGAAACATGCAGCCATGTTAGAGCAGGCCTCTGGAGGATTAATCAGCTCCATTACCAGCTTTGTAAGCATTCATTTCCTATGAAATATCCGCGTAGAGAAGGGGGGAAAGTACTTAATCTGAGAACTTTCAGTAATTAGAACGCTTTTTGAGTGAGTAAACCAAAGTAATTACAACAGCCAATCAGAAGAAGGTTGACCTTTAAAGGTCAATGAGAATTCAAAGTTAAAACAACCAAACTGCTTAAAGCGCGGGAAACGAACGCGGCCGACAAACTCGTGATTGATTTTAGTTTTGCATCTGATTGGTTGAAAGAGTGATGCGAGTTTTCTCGCTTGACCAATCACAGAGCGAAGTGAAGGAAAAACGTAGCAGTCACAGATTCCTACGACACTCATTAATTGGATATGTCTCAATTCCAACCAAATTTAGTCAATAAATAGTTTTTCAAAGTCGTTCTTTCTCTCTCATCCTTTCTTCTTTCAGCTCTTACATGTGCCAGTGTCTAACTTTGTGTTAAAAGTTACCAGCCTGATCAAAGATTGTGTCAATATTGCCGTTCGTTTTTATTGTTCCATAGGTTGGAAGCATGTTTGTTGCTGAGACCGAGAAAGCGGAATGTTTTAGGTATTTAACTGCAGCTCAATTCATTATAACATCTTACTCAGGAATTGTGAAATGATATAGATTTCTGAACTCTGTAGAACTTCTGACGACACAAACAGGCTAAATAGCAAATTTCCCTTCCCCTCTTTGTGGGACTCTTAGTGGCCAAACGTTTAGCATGCTGGACCCTCGGTCGAAGGGTCTGGGTTTGAAACCTGACTTCGTTATTGTGTTCTTGGGAGCAACACTTTACTCTCACCCAGTGCCTCTCTCCACCCATGATTATGAATGGGTTCCAGCGGACTGTCAAGGAATCCTGACAGAATATCGGAGAAGTAGCAATACTTCCAGTCGCTTTACTTTTTAGAAACTGAGCTAAACTGTTGCTTGACGAGCCTCTTGGCTCATTGGCTAGCTTTACCTTACCGTTACCTTTTCGTCTTAGCTGAGAGCTTTTTGTGTCTCATCTCGAGAACACCCTCCGGCTGATAAGTTCCTTCTTATTATTGTCTCTTTGCGGGATAATACGGTTTAAATAGCGAGAATATACATGTTAATCGCTTCTGGGAGTATTAGCCACTGCCATTACGAGATCAATTCATAATAATAAGGATGTGCAACTAGCCTGTGGACCAGGGGTTTATTTTTTTGCGTTTTTATCCGAGTGGACGAATCGGGACGTGGGTGTAAAGTGTAAGTCACGCGCAAGCTCTTTACGTGGCACTCGTTTTTAGCACGTGAATTGCCTTTTGCACGCGACTTGCCCTTTGCACGTGACACGTGCCCGCACTCCGTCCGCCTCAAAGCTCAAAGACGCAAAATGGGTTTTTTTTTCTCTTCAGGCTCGTGTGCATCTTGAAGCAAATTTGAACGAGATGAGGCAGAGGGTAGTAAGAACTAACCATTTGAATTTGTAGCTCCGTTTTAACGTTTGCTGAACCTTCATGTTGTCTCTGTTTAGTACAAATGAAGCCGTTCTTCTAGCTCTGTATGAAGCGGTGCACCTCAACAGAAATTTCTTCACTGTTCTCAGCCATGTCACGGTAAGTACCTGCACTGCTTTAACAACAATATAGCTTTGATATCAGTTTTTACAACCAGTTCGAGAGGACTCGGACCATAAACTTTTAGATCTTGCAGCCCCAAGTTCTAAAACTGAACTGTATGGAACGAGACTTACGTGTACTGTCGGTAATTTGAAATACAGTCTCTGCTAATTTGTGAAATAGTTTATATGAAGAAAAAGGAGAGGAGAGAGAGCCCAGGGAAGGAGTGACAGTCAACATTTTTTGAGGCATCGTATATTAATTTTTAATGTGGATTCACTTTGATTTGTTAAAGTTGATGCAAAAAAACTTTCATATGTTTATAATTTATCTAGACCGCTCCTGGATCCAGTCCTCCTCCGTCACCGACAGCCGCTCCTCCTGTGGTTGAAAGGACTGCCACTGGTTGGTACAGTTTCATGTAATACATTTCATATGCAAAACCAGATTTGATTGGTTCGTCTTTACGCCTCGTGATTGGTTCACAAAAGTCGCGTCCCAATCCAACCAGTCAGATGCGAGACTAAATCCAATCGCGACTTGGTTGAACGCGTTTTCTCGCGCTGAAGGCAGTTGATATGTTTTAACTTCGAGTTCTTTCAGGCTTTTTAGAATTTGTATCTTTATTCTGATGGGCCGTTGGGATTAAATTTGCTTTTGGTGTCAAAGAGTCAGTTAAAATGCTCATCATTCACTATCCAATTCAAAGGATTAATTTTCTTTTACAGAGAACAGTTTCCACGAATGATTGTAACAAGGCATTGCAAAATTCTAAATAATTTTGAAAGTCATAAGGGTAAGGAAATAAAAAGCACTTAGCAATCATGGCTTAGTGGATATCAGCTCTTATTTCCATCTGTTTTTTTTTCTTCCTGTAGCTGCGGTCGTTGAAGACTTTCCACCCGATTTGAGCCAGCCCACGAATTTACTCGTAACACTTTTAACATATTCCTCCATTGCTTTACAGAATACGAAAGGTGAGGTATTGTAGGCCATACTTTGTTTCTTTTTCCTTTGCAAAGACAGGCGTGCATGGGCTTTTCAGCGGCATGTTTCTGGTTTGTAGCTCACTTCGTGTTGCTTGTTTCCTGCTTTGGAGCTACGAGAACCGGCTCGCTTTCTTGAACTTCTTGGGAGAAACGAAAAACAACAAGAGATGATGAGTGAGAGTTAGCTAAGGGGTCGGTCATTATTTATCGCGGGGGGGAGGGGTAATGTTCCTGTGCCCCTCCTCCCCGCATTGTTAGTTAACTAGCAGTTGTCTGATAGTTGGTCTATACTATAGCCCCCCACCCTTTAAACTTTGTTTGCGAAGACTGATCCCCTCCGTTCCCCTTGAAAACAACGCACCAGCAAAAATTCGAAGACTTAAAGAAATTTAATTAACTTGAAGTCTTAATAAACATGTTGTTGCTAGTGGTTTCTAGAATGAAGGTTACAGACATAATACATTAAGAGCGGAACAACTAATTACAACGATGAAATAACATAGGAAACACGGATAACACAGGATGAAATGCGAAACAGGCGAAGATAGGAGACATTACCTGACGATTTGGGAATACTGCGCTGAGAACTAACGTTTCTCGACTTTGAACTAGCAAAGCCCTTGCAATTTTAACAACGCGCACGAACCTATTTATACTATTTATGCGCTCGGACTGGGGCGAGGCGGGGGATTGGTTTCTACACATGTGATCCCCCAAAATCATTTGACCCCACCCCTCAAGGTGATAAATTGGGACAAATCCCTAAGTGCTCCTTAGAGTAAAAGGGGCCTTGATTTGAGTTTTCGGGAAGCTTCAATAATTCAGTTTCCTTAATAGAGGTTGTATAGTTTTTGTGTTTCCAGCCCAGTTTTTGGTTGGTTATTGTTATTTATTGTTAAAAGCCATATGTTATTGCCTGTATTTACTTTGCGCCATTCAATTAATGTAAGGCTGTGTATTATCAGATTTTTACGTCTCTCTTGCAGTGTTGACGTCAAACAAACACTGTCTTTATTTGACCAAGATCTATCGGTTTTATCATTCGAAGTCTTAATCTTTGAATTTCAAGTAAGCTCGAAAATAAAGTTTTGAAACCTCATTAAAGTAACGTTATTTGCTTTTCAGAGGACAAAGGTGTGAGCAATGCCAAGCTGTGTCTGGTGATATTAACGTGTATTGTGGAGGTAAGATTTAAATTCTTTAAAAACAAATTGTTCACCGCTAGCATCGGACGGATATCTTCCCGCGCAACCGACTGATCCTCAGCAAGAAAACTAGCCTGGTTCCACAGAGATCCATCAAGAATTCTGATTGGTTGTTGCCAAATGAGATACGAAAATGATGTTTGTCGGTACGTCATCAGAATGGAATGTTCAGGTTCCAATTTTAGCCCCCTCCCTAAGTGAACATTTATTCTGAGTGTAGGTCAACTCGATAAAGCTGTCGTGGTATTGAACGACATTACCGTTTGCATATCTATAAAATTAACGCCTGAAAATAACGCCTTCTTTTCCCAACCTAGAAACTTCTAGATGTCTTTTTTTTTTTTTTTAATAATAACTGTAGATTAGTCTTCCAACGCTGTTTGTTGTTCTTCAGGATCAGTATGCGAATGTATTTCTTCACGACGCGAACATGACGTTGTCAGTACCGCTTCACAAAGCGGTATGTACCGCGGACTATTTTAACTGAGGTCACGGTGGGTAGCAAAAGTGTGGGAGCAGCGAGAGTCGAAGTGCTGGTATTGTTTTCTGATTGGATAATACACATCGGAAACCCATTAGGGAACATCTGTCCCGCATTTTTGAGGATTTGTCGATTGTAGCGCTGGTTTCCAAGTAAATAATGCAGCAATAGGTCACAGTGATAAGTGGACGGCTTTTGAGGAATTTGCAAATTGTTTTCTACGAGTATAGTTTAGCCCCTTGGTTTAAGTATCCAAAACATTAAAATTCGGGTCATGTTAGACTCATGTCGTATGTATTTCTGTTAAGAAGGCGTACGATTCCTTCCGTAGTAAAAGCTTCTGTGCTTATTGTGTCATTATTTCGCGTTGTCGTAGCAAATGTACCACAGAGGCCCAGTTATCGAAAAACATGCTCCATCAAGACCTCTCGCTTGTGCCTTACTAGGTAAGTATGTACAGAGAATTGTTTATGGAGCTCCTATATAACCAAATCAGTTGCAATTTTGTGGGAAGAATACTTGAATGTTTCAACTTCAACAAAGGAAAATGTTTGTTTTGCAGACCTCATGGTGGAATTTATTGTAACTCACATGATGAAAACTTTACCAACTGATTTGTACAGGTAAAAGTAACGACTTTGAACGTCAATCCTTTAACTAAGTTTAAAATTTTGCTAATTCTTCCTACGATTTTAAACCAGACTGGTAGCTTGTGATCGATTGAGACGTTAACTGCTGACCTTTTTGTTTCTTCCTTGGTGTAGTAAAACATTTGGAATCTTGCATCGCATACTTTGTTACCAGAAGAGATGTCGAGTCAGACTCTCCTATTCGTGGAAAAATTTCTGGACGGCTCTTATGAACTTCCTAAAGTTTCTCCTGTCCAATGAAACTGTCCTCGCCAAAACCTGCGATATCTTCTCCCTGGCGTCGCAAGTAAGTTAACTATCGAATCTTCTTCTTTTTCCACGCAGAGATGATGAATTTTACGGTGGTGTGTGTTAAGTACTGACACAGACTCAACCAGACATCGTTCCTAATCCTTTTTAAAAACCCTATGAGTGATTAGCATCTAATTTCTCCTTACAATATCTCCACTGAATCAAAGATTAAGGTCAGGAGAATAAAGGAAATGATCCCCAACTAAAGAAGCTCTTGGTTGTTAGAACAATTTTTCCTCGTCAGTATCTTAGGAAATGTGAAGAGAACAGAGTGGAGAAATTGTACGCTGATATTAGCGTGAAAAGGGTTTTAGTTGATCCCCTGTTTAAAGAAAAAGTTAAATGATTTGCAATATACTTCTTTCTTATTAAAAACGAGAAAGCGACTTACTTCCTCAGTGCTCGAAATTAGCGGTCGTCCGGTCGTCTGAGACGACCAAAAAGTTTACCGGGCAAAGTAAAATTAAGAGGCTGGTTGTCCTAGGAAAAAACAACGGACAACCCAGCCAAAAATAGAAAATAAATAAACCATAAACAGCACCTGGCCTACGTGACGGTTTTGTTTTGTCAATGTCCGGTAGTCTGAAGTTAATGATTATTTGCCTCAGCTAAGCGTTTTCCTGTGTTTTGGATATCTGTAAATTTTATAAAACATTGCCAGGTACGAAAATGTAAGAGACAAACACTAAGTTTCTTGTCTGGAGGCGGTCAAAAGACGCCATTTTGAATATGCCACAACTTAAACCCAGACTTCTGCGAAAACCATTGCCGCGCACTAAGAACTATGGGATTAGTTCAAGCTTGACCGCCATGTGATTTTCTACCGGGCAACCAAGGATTCATCAGGGCAACTAAATTCACGGCTTTAGTTGCCCGGCTTTTGAAATAGGGACAACCTGGATCTTTTTTCTAATTTCGAGCACTGCTTACTGAAGAAGGTGGGTGGTATATTGTTGGGGGTGTTTCGTTTTATCTAACCTTTTACTCTTATTTACATCTTCTTTTTTGTAGGTCGTTAACATTTTTAATTTGTTCATCACGTATGGAGATACATTTCTTCCATCTCCGACATCATACGATGAACTCTACTACGAAATCATTCGCGTTCATCAAATTTTTGAGAATCTGTACTCAATGGGTAAGTAAATAATGATTTATAGAACCTTAGAAACTATTTTGTAGCATTTTGCCCCTTAAGTATAGTTTTTTTGCTTAATATTAAGGTAATACAGCAATTATAGTGGTAG